CAAATAGAGTCTCGATTCTCTGTGGTTCCAGTCTGATTCATGTCTCTGATGTGTGAGTCTGAATCAAGTTTCAAGTCTCTGAGGTTCAAGTCGGAATTGAGTGACTGAGATGCGAGTCTCGCGTCTCTGATGTTCGAGTCTGAATTGAGTCTCAGAGGTTCGAGTCCGAATCAACTCTCAAGTCTCTGAGGTTTGAGTCTGAATTGAGTCTTAGAGGTTCAAGTCCAAATTGAGTCCCAACTCTCTGAGGCTTGAGTCCGAACTGAGTCTCTGAGGTGCTAGTCTGAATTGAGTCTCAAGTCTCTGAGGAGCGAGTCTAAATTGAGTGATTAAGGTGCGAGCCTCGAGTCTCTGAGGTGTAAGTCCAAATTGAGAGATTGAGGTGCAAGCCTCGAGTCTCTGAGGTTCGAGTCTGAATTGAGTCTCTGAGATGAGAGTCTGAGTCGAGTCTTTAGTCTCTAAGGTTAGAATCTGAATTGAGTCTTGAGTCTCTGACGTTCAAGTCTGAATTGAGTCTCTGAGGTCCAAGTCTGAATCAATCCTCAAATCTCTGAGGTTTGAGTCAGAGTCTTGAGTCCAAATTGAGTCTCGACTCTCTGAGGTGCTAGTCCAAGTAGAATCTGGAGTCTCTGGGGTTCGAGTCCGAGTTGAGTGTCGAGCCTCTCAGGTTTGAGTTCGAACTGAGTCTCAGTTCTCTGAGATGCGAGTCTGAGTCGAGTCCTTAGTCTCTGGGGTTCAAGTCCAAGTCGGTTCTCACATTGTTATTGGCAATTAAGCTGAGCCTGCAATACCATTCATACAGAGTGAACGGCTCAGAAACTAAAGGCTTTATTTACGGTTGTGTTTTGGTTCTTTCAGTACAAATTGTGTTAAATAGCGAGGAGGAAAGAAGATACGCCTCTGAGGTGATTATGCAGTCGATTAGACGCTCCTTCAGCGCAGTTGGGGATGCAGTAAGATGCTTTAGCCTTCACACCACAGATGCTATGTGGTCATATTCTTCCTTGACCGCCTCTTAAGGTGGTCTGTGTGTTTGGATTACAGCAAGTATCCAAGGTGCACTGGAACCCCTTCACACCTGCACTTGTTGCTGTCCGCCTATGACTGGATCGCATGTTAATGCCAGGTATAAATGGTCTGTTAGGGGTTACATAATTACTTAACCCCTTAAAAATACTTAACAGGAGTTACTCAGCAGTAAGTCTTAAGATAGATACTCTTTATTTAGACGGCCCACTTTAGAAGCTTTGTAGAACCTCACCTTTAATGAACATGATGCTAAATATTTATTCATTTGGCAACAATTTTCCTTAAATCTAAACCAAACACTCATCCAAACCCTAAACTTAACCCAAACCCAATCCCAAAATCCCTAACCCATAGGTGGCCAATCCTGGTCCTGGAGATCTACCACCCAGACCCAACACACCTGGCTCTAATATACAGAGGCGTTCTTTACCTGCACTCTCAAAATAGATGGTTCTGCAAGGGTTCTTCAGTGGTTCTATATAGAACCATGAACACTTAAAGAACCTTTTGCATGATTAAAGGATTCTTTGCATTGTTAAAGGGTTCTTCAGATTGATGGATAATGAGCTGTAGATGTTTCTACATAGAAACTTTTAAAAAAGGTTCTATATTTCACCAAATATATTTTGCTATTGTTACAATGTCAAGCTTCTTAAAATAGAAGATCCCTTTTTGGTGCTATATAGAACCATCTACAGCACATTTTCCACCAATCTAAAGAACACTTTCACAATGCAAAGAAGCTTTTAATCATGCAAAGGGTTCTTTGAGTGTTGATGGTTCTATATAGAACCATTTTTTACTAAAGAAGATCCCTTGAAGATCCAGTTTGTGGATCAGGTGTGTTAGATTAGGGTTGGAATTAAATTCTACAGGGTGGTGGATCTCCAGGACCACGACTGAGCACCCCGATTTAACCTAATCCTAAATTCTAAACCTGGTTCTAACTCTAAACCAGAGCCCACATTCATAAAGTTTGTCAGAGTCGAAGCGCAGATCTAGGATCAGTTCTGATTAGTAAGTAAATCAGTAAATCATAGTAATTATGAGAGGAATCTGATCGTAAAAGACAAGCCCCGGTTCTAATTTTAACCCTAATTTAAACACTTAACCTGGTTCTAAACCTAATCCTCAACATAATTTTAACTTTTAACCTGGTTCTAATCCTATTCACATCCCTAATCCTGTTCTCTGCGGAAAAAAAAAGATTTTAAAGCAAGTGCAATCATCGTGAGTATATTTGATAAATCTGATATCTAATATTTCTCATTTTAAATTAGTTGTAGAAGAATACGCAGTAAGAAGTGTCTCGTCAGATCTACTTAAAAAATGATTTCATGTGGTAACAAGTAAATTAACTAGTTTTATTCAACCTAAATAAATACTTTGAACGATTCTTTCAATCAGTGTAATTTTTTAAGTTGAATAAAACGAGTTTAATTGCTTCTTACCACATGAAATCATTTTTAAGTAGATCTGACGAGCCACTTTTTACAGTGTAATAACATTATTTGACTTATTTCTAGATGTATTTGACCTGTTGTAAGTGAAATTATCTCACTATATTGGATGTTGGTTTTAAGCATCTCTCTTAACTATGAGTCACTGTAGTGAGATAATGTAACCTACTAAAATTACTTAAGTAAAAATCTAGAAATAAGTTAAATATTATTATAATATTCATACAACCACCTCAAAATGAGAAATATTAGATTCATTGAAAGTGTTTCTATATAATGTATTGTAATTGAAAAAGATTCAGGACGCAGCTAGAGTGTAAGGGGTTAAGAGATTGAGATGGGTCTTCAGATCTACCCAAGGTACTTAAGAGCTTCAGGGCAAAGCTTTCAGGTGACATGGCAGGTGAGTTCTGTGCATTTTATTTTTTTTGTTTTTAATATTTAAGGCCTGCTATGGTAGTGGTGTTTGGCAAGAAATCAAATCTGCACAGTTTCGCCACATTTCACCCCAAATGTAGTCAATCAGTTGAGACATGAGGCTATGAGGCTATGAGGCTAATGTAGCTGGTGAGTTAACAAGCAATGGAAGCGTATAGCTCACCGATTAGCACTGCTAAGTGATAAATAGTGATAAATCGTGAACCGTGTGGAGTTGTTAAATAACCTCCAAAGACTAGATTATGTGGTTTCTGATTTTGTGTGACATACATCTATGCAAATATAAGCCAGTGGTGACGTAGGCATGCAGTTAGCATGACGCTAATTTGTGTACGCTTCCATTGCACTGCAAAAAATGGTATCTTATCGAGTAAAATGATCTTAAATCATCAATAAATCTGGTGTTTCTGCTGTTGAGATTGTTGTAAGATTAATTTAAGATTATTTAACTTATTTCCAGGTATTTTTATTTGTTTTGAGTGATTTTATTAACTGAAATTACATCACATATATATCTGCCACTATAGTGAGATCATTTTACTTAATAAAATGACCTAAAACAAGTAAATTATGTCTGGAAATAAGCCAGACAATCTTATTATAAGTGCATACCCATGTCAAAATAAGAAATATGAGATAAATCGACTAGAATTAAGATCATTTCGCTTGAGAAGATATTATTTGGGTGCGTTTTAGCTACATTAGCCTTCAATACAAAAGTAAAGAACTTCACCAAACATGTCTCAGCTGACTCAGTACACTTACTGTGAAGGTTAAAACTGCGTAAATTAGATTTTTTTCACCAAACTATTCTTTCACAATGAACTCTGGGCCTAGTTTCGGCTGCTTTGGGCCTGGAATGCCGCTCAGAAAGGACTTTCACTACAAGCTTTGACACAGGGCTCCCCGAATGACATGCAAATCTCTCTCCTCCACGTCTTTCTGTCTTTCTGACGGGGACCCCGAACAGCCAAGAGACACAAACCATACTGTAGTTCACATGCTATGTACACAGAGCTGCCTGCTTGCAAGGATGGAGTGGAGAGCGAGTGGTGGAAATGGCGATGGGCTTACTAACAGGCACAAAAGATGAAAAAAACAAAACAAAACCTTCACCTAAAACGCAAGAGCGCTGATTTCATGCCGTTTAGTTCACAAAAAAGAAAAGGTAAAGAAAAAGAAGAGAGAGAAAGACACAGACGTAAGTAGACCAGACAAGCATGAGCGCCGTGATGATCAGAGATAAAGCGCACACTGACGGATGAAGGCACTATCGCAAGCAAAGTCCGATCACTACTTGTGGCCACCTCTTGGGCTAGACGTCGGAGCGGATGTGGAGGATGACTTTGGATGATGTGAAGACGTTCTTGTCTACAGTTCGCACTCAGGCTTTTGTGGAAAACAGTCAGCAGCACAAAATCGGCTCAGCGAGGGGGCGGAGCATTTTATGGCTATAACATTGGTCATTCGACATGGTGGAATCTGTTTTTGCCTTCTGAAAACGACAGTTTGGCAAATGCAGTCGATCAAATGTAGCTAACAAGTAATAGAAGCTGCGCACCAATTAGCATGGTGCTAGCCGCATGCCTCAATCATTATGTCCAGTTGTTTAAGTAACATCAAAAATAGATGTTTCCGACACTCTTAGTCCACATAAATATGGACTAAATTCAGGCTAAGATGCTATTTTTTTGGATTTTAAGCTTCCATTACTTGTTGGCTACATTAGTCTCATGGCTCCAGTGCTAAAACAAAGGAAACACCTTCAGATACCAAACATATCTTGGCTGATCGACTACATTTGGGACGCACTGTCGCTTTAAAAGGACAAAAGAGGAAAGGACAGTAGGACCCTAGTAGCAAAATCTGGCAACTGTTCATGCAGTGGTACATTCCGACCTAACAGCAGGAAAATGCTCTAACCTTCACTGCCTGACAGCTTCCTGCAGGCCGTCTGTGGCTCGTTTCCGGAAAAGCTGTGAGACTGTGACAGTTAACAGGGAAGTGCATCTTCAAAAGCTTCAACATATGATGAATATCACTGCAATAACTGGGAATGTTTTAAGTGCTCAGTGAATCTGAGGAGATCAGACGAGAGTTTGGTGGCAGTTGTAAGGAAAGGCAAATGTAGAACGTAAAGGAAAGTGAAGAGCGCCTCCGTCTTTGGAGTAAGCACACATTACGTGATAAGAATCTTATAATGTGCAAAGAAAATGCAGGTGTAGTTGGAGGAGAAACTTGTGATCCCAGTCAGTGAAGAACAACAGCAAAAAAAAAAAGAAAAAAAAACGAAGTGAAATAAAAGTGAGACTTTGCTGTGGAGAGGTAACCATCTAGCCCAAGGGTTTCTGCATGTTCTGTGGACACACGAGTACATTCAGGGTTACATTCTCATTCCAGCGGGTCGTCCAAATCGTCGTCCACCACCAGCGCCTCGAAGCCCGGGCCAGATTTCCCGCCTTTGCTTTTGGCTCTGCTGTGGGATGAGGAGGTCCTGTGGTTCTCTAGACTGTCCAGGCCGTCTGTCGGAGCCTCCTTGGGGTCCCCGTTCTCCCGGTTCGACTGGAGCTTGGCCCCCTGGCTCTGGGGTCTCCAGCCTCTGCCTGAGGGGTAAAGGTCATCATCCACAGCGAAGTTGTCGTCCACTCCCATGTCGTAGCGCTGATACGTGCTAGCATGGACTTCCTCCTCCAAGGCAGTGATCTCCAGGGTGCTGTTCCACATCCCGTAGCCGAAGTAGATCAACACACCTGCAGACATATGCACATTTATATACTGTATATACAGTATGAATCTGCAGTGTGTGTAATTTTACAGTCTGACAGTAGTAATTGTGGAGTGATTTTAATCCAGTATGAATCTGCAGTGTGTGTAGTTTTACGGTCTGACAGTAATAATTGTGGAGTGATTTTAATCCAGTATGAATCTGCAGTGTGTAGTTTTACGTCCTGACGTAATATTGTGGAGTGATTTTAATCCAGTATGAATCTGCAGTGTGTGTAGTTTTACGGTCTGACAGTAATAATTGTGGAGTGATTTTAATCCAGTATGAATCTGCAGTGTGTAGTTTTACGGTCTGACTGTAATAATTGTGGAGTGATTTTAATCCAGTATGAATCTGCAGTGTGTGTAGTTTTACGGTCTGACAGTAATAATTGTGGAGTGATTTTAATCCAGTATGAATCTGCAGTGTGTGTAGTTTTACGGTCTGACTGTAATAATTGTGGAGTGATTTTAATCCAGTATGAATCTGCAGTGTGTGTAGTTTTACGGTCTGACTGTAATAATTGTGGAGTGATTTTAATCCAGTATGAATCTGCAGTGTGTGTAGTTTTACAGTCTGACTGTAATAATTGTGGAGTGATTTTAATCCAGTATGAATCTGCAGTGTGTGTAGTTTTACAGTCTGACTGTAATAATTGTGGAGCGATTTTAATCCAGTATGAATCTGCAGTGTGTGTAGTTTTACAGTCTGACTGTAATAATTGTGGAGCGATTTTAATCCAGTATGAATCTGCAGTGTGTGTAGTTTTACAGTCTGACTGTAATAATTGTGGAGCGATTTTAATCCAGTATGAATCTGCAGGGTGCTCTAAATGAGCAAAGGCAAATGAATGAAAAGAAATGCTGCTCACCCACAAAACACCAGACGGCAAAGCGGATCCAGGTGATGCTGGACAGCTTAAGCATAAGATACACGTTGACCAACATGGCGGATGCTGGGACGAAGGGCACGCAGGGCGCCATGTAGGGCAGACGCTTGGGGTTCTCAGGCTGCTGGATGATGATGAAGATTAGCAACGTGATGACCAGCACTAGCAACACTAGCAGCACTATGGCCCACCAGCGACCCTCTGCAATGCAGCTCGCACCGAATATGATGAGTGAACAGAAGCCAAAGATAAGGAAGAAGAGGAGGAGAACGCAGCGGGTGACTGTTCGGCCAGTAGATGGCGTCGGTCGGTCCATTTTGCTTGGCAAACCTAAGCGGATTCGCATGGTGTAGTAGCGAGGCCCCATTAGCTTCTTTAGCTTCTGAAGGTAGACACTTTCCGTCTCGTCCGACTCGATGCCCGAGGACATATCCACTGTACCGTAGTTTGGATGGCTAGCGGTGTAGCTGGATTTGTCCGACTTGCCAATCAGCATTTCATTGTCACCCAACGATGGCAGATTCTTGGCCCCACAGGTGTTGGTCGGAGGACCTCCATACTCTTCGCCTTCACTAACCGGAGAACATGCATCCTTCTCACATTCGGCCAGCACCCCCTCCCCCTTCCTCTTGGCGTTCTCCTCAGACAGGAAGTTGACGAAGCCGTGGATGTCACTCTCGGGTTGGTAGCGAAGCAACAGCACGCACACCGACACTAAAGTGTAGGCCAGCAGGGTGCCGATGGACATCATCTCGATCAGGTCACGCAGACTGACCAGCAAAGCCAGCAGGGCAGCAAGAAACCCAGACACGATGCAGGCCACGACTGGAGTCTCTGTGTAAGTGCTCACATGGGCCAAGAACCTGCAGAACAACACACACATCTGAAAAAGAGCCATGACCTAGCATCTGCTTGTCTCAACCAGAATAGCCACTAATGAACCAATAATACAGCCATCATAACTGAAATATGCAGATGTTTTACACAGTAAACCCGAGAAGGGGACTCGAGTCAGTGACTCGGACTTCAGTCACATGTTGACTCAAAAATCGGACTCATGTTTGACTCACCTTAAAGGGCAATTCCAACACACACTTCAAAACGTCTGAATAATTGAGTCATTTAAAAGTAAACAGAGTCGATCAGAGTGGTTTGGTGTGAAATGCTCTGTTCAAAGTTGACAGGAACCACATCTGAGGAGGTTATTGTCTCTAAAAGCTCCTGCACAGAACATTTTTACACAAACCAGTAATGAATACTCTGCCTAAAGACTGAGACATTGCTTGGTTAAAAAAGGTTGAACACAAAACACTGTATATTTAGTTTTTTTCCCCATTTCTTTTAATACTTTTTTGGCAAAGTGCTAACAATTAACACAGTTAAAACAATTAGCATTCCATAAAACAGAAGACTCGTGTAGGTTCACTGGTGGTTCTGGATAGTAAATAAAATGTCTATATTTGTGTTGTAGTCATGGCGACCCCTGGTTCCTATCACCACCACTGTATAATGCAGAAAATTTGAAAAAGAAAAAAAATTAGCTTGAGGAAAAAAGGCAAAAACTGATTCAATTGGAAACCTTTTGTTTCCAAGTTTACATTTACCTGTCAGTTCTGGCACAGCCAGACGCAGACATTACTGCAATGCCGTTCTCCCAGGTTCGATACAGCTTCAAATAACGAGCTGTTCATTAAAGAAAAACCTTTATTCTGATGAATGGAACAGAGCGCTACTTACAGTAAATGCGGTGTTTAAAGTAAAAAGATGCAAAACAACGAGAAACAGTGGGCGAACACGCAGTTTGGATAGCAAGTATTCTAGCTAGTGTGACAGCTGAATAAGTTAAGTCAGGGAACCCATCTGAAGTGCTGAGGTTTCAGTAAATTACAGATTAAATTCCTTTAAAATTTACAATAACTTAATCTGAATGAGCTATTGTGCTAGCTAGCTTTACGACCAATTTACGATCGTATGCAAAAGTTTGAACAACCCTGGTCAAATAACGTTTTATTTATTTTAATTCATTTTTGAAAATGAATTAAAATCATTAAACTGCTGTAGCTGAATGGTGGAGCTAAACTGCTGTAGCTGAATGGTGGAGCTAAACTGCTGTAGCTGAAACTGCTGTAGCTGAATGGTGGAGCTAAACTGCTGTAGCTGAATGGTGGAGCTAAACTGCTGTAGGCTGAATGGGTGGGGCTAAACTGCTGTAGGCTGAATGGGTGGGGCTGAACTCCTGTAGGCTGAATGGTGGGGCTAAACTGCTGTAGGCTGAATGGGCGGGGCTCAACTGCTGTAGGCTGAATGGGCGGGGCTAAACTGCTGTAGGCTGAATGGGCGGGGCTAAACTACTGTAGGCTGAATGGGCGGGGCTAAACTGCTGTAGGCTGAATGGGCTGGGCTAAACTCCTGTAGGCTGAATGGGTGGGGCTAAACTCCTGTTGGCTGAATGGTGGGGCTAAACTGCTGTAGGCTAAATGGGTGGGGCTAAACTGTTGTAAGCTGAGTGGGTGGGGCTAAACTCAAATTTTTCGAAATTTCTAAAAGTGTGATAATGAAGATTAAATATGACTAAAAAGGCATAATAAAGCCTTCAGGATAAAGATTTTCCATAATCATATGCGGTTATGAGGATGAGAAACTAAAGTGTCTTAGGACCCTTAAGGAAAATCAGCGTTTCCATGATTTCTCCATGAGTGTTGATCTCTGAGAGCTGCGTTTACCTGAACAGCAGACCGTCTCCAGCCATGGCATAGATGACCCTGGGCATGGGGAAGAGTGACCCCAGCAGGCTGACGGTCAGTCCAGCGATGGAGCCGATGGCCACGATGTATTTGGCTGCCTGAAAGCCGTGCCGAGAGAACATCTCCATCAGCGGAGCGTCAGCATCGATCTCCGTGTACGGCACCATTAGAGTGAGAATTACACTCACCTAGAGAGAGAGAGAGAGAGAGAGAGAGAGAGAGAGAGAGAGAGAGAGAGAGAGAATAAAAAGAGAGAAAGACAGGAGGGCTGGCTTTAATCACCGTGTTTAATGCTGTAAAACTGAACATTTTCAAAAGCTTTTGCAGTTATTAATCACATTTCGCTCTCACAGGTTACACTAATTGTCAGTGATTAACAAAATCATGCTGTAATTTCACAGTAATTATTTCTGACTCATAGTGTTGCAGTTTTCCGAAACAAGCAGAGAAATAGTTTTACCACAGTTTTTCTCATTTATGATTAAGATAAAGAGAAACTAGTCACAAATGCAGACTCGAACTTACCAATATAGAATGTAAATTGGATGCAAATGTTATTAACTGCATAACTACGTAATTATACAATTACTTTTGAAGGTGATCTCCAAAATCCCTGCATAATTAAACGTTTAATATGTAAACAGAGCGGTTCAAAGTGGTTTGGTGTGAAACGCTCTGTTCTAGAGAAACTTACCGAGTCAGAACTGTTCACAGTGGTGGTGATAGGAACCAGACGTCCACCTCTAAAAGCTCCCTCACAGAAAGTTACTACGGGAAATGGTTATGAATTCACTGCCTGATGACTGAGACACTGTTTTATGATAGTTTAGAGAACTTAAACTCCATTCATGGTGGAGGGATACATGCAGGGCACTGTGAGGCAAAATAGTCCCCAAAGAAAACTTATTATTTCAGATTTTCCACTATTTTCCATCATCAACATTCATATAAACTCAGAAGACTCGTGTAGGTTCACTGGTGGTTCTTGTGTTGTAGTCATGGCGACCCCTGGTTCCTATCACCACCACTGTAAAGACATCTGAACCATTTCACACCAAACCTCTCTGAATCCCTCTGTTTACATTGTTTAGTACAGTCAGCACAGCTAGTGTAACTCTACACTAATTCTATAAGGGGAAATTAAGAATATCCACCTCAGTGCAGGTCGTGTATTCTTTGAGTTCTTTTCAGATCTGATGAACTGCTGAGGCAGAAGTGATATAAAAACACGCGTCTCACTGTGACACGCAAGGAGGCAGACTGTGATTTATAGAGCCGAACTGAATAAACAAACGCTCTCTGCAGTTCGGCTCCACAGAAAGCAGAAAACTGCGGCATACCTCATACACAGCTAACAGCCTGATGCGCACAGGCTCAGCACCGCTGTGACTGGACCAATTAAAATGTAAAATTAGCCTGAGCCAAGCTGAAATAACCACAGAGACATGCAGGCTGCTAATTAGCGAATTAGCTAACCGCCAGACAGCCTCACAGGTGTGAACGCGAGGAGACGTTGTGGATTAGTCTTATTCCAGCTTGGCACAAAAGGAAGAGAGAGAGAGAAAGACTCAATAGTTCAGAGTGAGAGGATGATTTAGAGCAGATAACCTCAACATCAGGCCCACACAGCCATTACACTGCAGGGAGATTAGATTAGCAGGCGAATTAGACATCTCAGAAAAAAGAACTTTGTAATAGAGAATCATTCTTCTCGTGTGCTGTGAGTGGAAGAACAAGGTAGGTGTTTCCAATAAAGTGGACAGTTAGTGGAAGTACAAAGTGATTCCAATAAAGTGGACAGTTAATGGAAGTAGAAGGTAGGTGTTTCTAATAAAGTGGCCAGTCATTGGAAGTACAAGGTGTTTCCAGTAAAGTGGCCAGTAAGAGGAAACAAAAGGTTGGTGTTTCTGATAAAGTGGCCAGTCAGTGGAAATACAGGGTAGGTGTTTCTGATAACATGTCCAGTGAGTGGAAGTACAAGGCTGGTGTTTCTAATAAAGTGGCCAGGTAGTGAAAGTACAAGGTAGGTGTTTCTAATAAAGTGACCAGTTAGTGGAAGCACAAAGCAACTGTTTCTAATAAAGTGGCCAGTGAGTGGAAGTACCAGGTAGGTATTTCTGATAAAGTGGCCAGTGAGTGGAAGTACAAGGTAGGTGTTTCTGATAAAGTGGCCAAGGTATGTATAATATTATAAAGTATGCTGTATATTGTTATAAAATATAATGTGTGCTGTATATTGTTATAAAGTATGATGCCACCTGTCTGCTAGACTTGCCGCACTCTGTGCTGTTTTTGCATCACCAGGTTGCCATGGTGACCGTCTCTCAGTCTGCCAGGCTGGCAGGCTTGTGAAGCTTATTAAGATTTCAGAGATGCTGAGTGAACTCGGTGATTGATGATGTCGCCCAGCGAATTTAAACAGAAAGCATCGATTTAAAGAGAATTGAGTCTGTTCTATGTGTTCTGTTTGGCAACTCCAGGATCTCCAGCTGTAACTCAGATTCAGTTCACTTTTCCTTTCTTCTGAATAAAAACATGTTGCACAGACTTTGAGTTTTCTGCTGATAACATTCAGTATTGTACAAGATGAAATGGATTACATCATTAAAGGAACCTAGACTGTTAAGGCCCCAGTATGATGTACATGTCCAATGCCATTCGATTATATTGTATGAGCCAAGCAACATCTGCATTTATTATCAAAAATAGACAAAGTCCTTTAACTAGTGGGCTGCCAGTTTTGGTTGTACTCTCTCTTGTCCACTGAGCGAGGAACAGCGAACTGAATATCTCATCTAACTCAAATATATCAGCTTTAGCTACAGCGTGACATCACTCAAGAGGAAAACCTCTGTGATTGTCTTATTTTCCATAGGACTGAGTTCAGTGCATCCATATGACATCACAGCGCGACAATGGTAGCCTACTAGTAGAGGAACTTTTTGAAACTTTTTTGCCTAATTGTTATTCCCATTTGGTTTATATGTCATATTTTAATCATGCTGGACATGAGCACTGGTTTAAGGTATACAAGTCTTAATTAACCTGCAAACAACTTAGTCCAGTCAAGCGCACCGTAGAAGAAATGAAAGAGTTAATCAATCGAGAAAAGCCTCCATTTATCTATGACTTTTAATTTAGCAGGAACAAAATATGTGACTAGGTACATTTAATTGGTTCATTTGACTGAATAAGAGTGGAAAAAGGTGTTTCTAATAAAGTGGCCAATTAATGGAAGTACAAGGTGTTTCCAATAAAGTGGACAGTTAGTGGACGTACAAGGTAAGTGTTTCTAATAAAGTGGCCAGTAAGTGGACGAATGTGTTAGGTGTTTCTAAAAAAGTGGCTAATTAATGGAAGTACAAGGTGTTTCTAATAAAGTGGACAGTTGGTGGAAATACAAAGTGTTTCCAAAAAAGTGGCCAGTTAGTGGAAGTACAAGGTAGGTGTTGGAAGTGAGCCAGTGAGTGGAAGAATGTGTTAGGTGTTTCTAATAAAGTGGCCAATTAATGGAAGTGCAAGGTGTTTCTAATAAAGTGGCCAGTTAGTGAACGTACAAAGTGTTTCCAATAAAGTGGCCAGTTAGTGAAAGTACAAGGTAAGTGTTTCTAATAAAGTGGCCAGTAAGTGGAAGAATGTGTTAGGTGTTTCTAATAAAGTGGCCAATTAATGGAAGTACAAGGTGTTTCCAATAAAGTGGACAGTTGGTGCCAATACAAAGTGCTTCCAATAAAGTGGCCAGTTAGTGGAAGAATGTGTTAGGTGTTTCTAATAAAGTGGCCAATTAATGGAAGTGCAAGGTGTTTCTGATAAAGTGGACAGTTAGTGGAAATACAAAGTGTTTCCAAAAAAGTGGCCAGTTAGTGGAAGTACAAGCGCACCGTAGAAGAAATGAAAGAGTTAATCAATCGAGAAAAGCCTCCATTTATCTATGACTTTTAATTTAGCAGGAACAAAATATGTGACTAGGTACATTTAATTGGTTCATTTGACTGAATAAGAGTGGAAAAAGGTGTTTCTAATAAAGTGGCCAATTAATGGAAGTACAAGGTGTTTCCAATAAAGTGGACAGTTAGTGGACGTACAAGGTAAGTGTTTCTAATAAAGTGGCCAGTAAGTGGAAGAATGTGTTAGGTGTTTCTAATAAAGTGGCTAATTAATGGAAGTACAAGGTGTTTCTAATAAAGTGGACAGTTGGTGAAAATACAAAGTGTTTCCAATAAAGTGGCCAGTTAGTGGAAGAATGTGTTAGGTGTTTCTAATAAAGTGGCCAATTAATGGAAGTGCAAGGTGTTTCTGATAAAGTGGACAGTTAGTGGACGTACAAAGTGTTTCCAATAAAGTGGACAGTTAGTGAAAGTACAAGGTAAGTGTTTCTACTAAAGTGGCCAGTAAGTGGAAGAATGTGTTAGGTGTTTCTAATAAAGTGGCTAATTAATGGAAGTACAAGGTGTTTCTAATAAAGTGGACAGTTGGTGGAAATACAAAGTGTTTCCAAAAAAGTGGCCAGTTAGTGGAAGTACAAGGTAGGTGTTGGAAGTGAGCCAGTGAGTGGAAGAATGTGTTAGGTGTTTCTAATAAAGTGGCCAATTAATGGAAGTGCAAGGTGTTTCTAATAAAGTGGCCAGTTAGTGAACGTACAAAGTGTTTCCAATAAAGTGGCCAGTTAGTGAAAGTACAAGGTAAGTGTTTCTAATAAAGTGGCCAGTAAGTGGAAGAATGTGTTAGGTGTTTCTAATAAAGTGGCCAATTAATGGAAGTACAAGGTGTTTCCAATAAAGTGGACAGTTGGTGCCAATACAAAGTGCTTCCAATAAAGTGGCCAGTTAGTGGAAGAATGTGTTAGGTGTTTCTAATAAAGTGGCCAATTAATGGAAGTGCAAGGTGTTTCTGATAAAGTGGACAGTTAGTGGAAATACAAAGTGTTTCCAAAAAAGTGGCCAGTTAGTGGAAGTACAAGCGCACCGTAGAAGAAATGAAAGAGTTAATCAATCGAGAAAAGCCTCCATTTATCTATGACTTTTAATTTAGCAGGAACAAAATATGTGACTAGGTACATTTAATTGGTTCATTTGACTGAATAAGAGTGGAAAAAGGTGTTTCTAATAAAGTGGCCAATTAATGGAAGTACAAGGTGTTTCCAATAAAGTGGACAGTTAGTGGACGTACAAGGTAAGTGTTTCTAATAAAGTGGCCAGTAAGTGGAAGAATGTGTTAGGTGTTTCTAATAAAGTGGCTAATTAATGGAAGTACAAGGTGTTTCTAATAAAGTGGACAGTTGGTGAAAATACAAAGTGTTTCCAATAAAGTGGCCAGTTAGTGGAAGAATGTGTTAGGTGTTTCTAATAAAGTGGCCAATTAATGGAAGTGCAAGGTGTTTCTGATAAAGTGGACAGTTAGTGGACGTACAAAGTGTTTCCAATAAAGTGGACAGTTAGTGAAAGTACAAGGTAAGTGTTTCTACTAAAGTGGCCAGTAAGTGGAAGAATGTGTTAGGTGTTTCTAATAAAGTGGCTAATTAATGGAAGTACAAGGTGTTTCTAATAAAGTGGACTGTTGGTGGAAATACAAAGTGTTTCCAAAAAAGTGGCCAGTTAGTGGAAGTACAAGGTAGGTGTTGGAAGTGAGCCAGTGAGTGGAAGAATGTGTTAGGTGTTTCTAATAAAGTGGCCAATTAATGGAAGTGCAAGGTGTTTCTAATAAAGTGGCCAGTTAGTGAACGTACAAAGTGTTTCCAATAAAGTGGCCAGTTAGTGAAAGTACAAGGTAAGTGTTTCTAATAAAGTGGCCAGTAAGTGGAAGAATGTGTTAGGTGTTTCTAATAAAGTGGCCAATTAATGGAAGTACAAGGTGTTTCTAATAAAGTGGACAGTTGGTGCAAATACAAAGTGTTTCCAATAAAGTGGCCAGTTAGTGGAAGAATGTGTTAGGTGTTTCTAATAAAGTGGCCAATTAATGGAAGTGCAAGGTGTTTCTAATAAAGTGGACAGTTGGTGCAAATACAAAGTGTTTCCAATAAAGTGGCCAGTTAGTGGAAGTACAAGCGCACCGTAGAAGAAATGAAAGAGTTAATCAATCGAGAAAAGCCTCCATTTATCTATGACTTTTAATTTAACAGGAACAAAATATCTGACTAGATACATTTAATTGGTTCATTTGACTGAATAAGTTCACTGATAAACTTAATTACAGCAAAACAATTTCAGGTGCAATAAACTGAGAGCATATTTTTATTCTGCATTTAAACCGTAAACCTAGTTAAACCTAGTTAAATGGTTATCTAATTAAGTAACTTAATACACAGTTACATGATTAAGTATTTAATTTATATTCCATACATTATTTCTGTTCATTTGAAGAAGTGAACTGTTTTTCTGTCTGCAGAACGAGACTGCAGACGCAACAATGACCAAATACAAATCATAAAAACACCCTGCAAATACTACAAAATGTAGTACAGATTCAAACACTTTACAATCTGCACTTTCTACACTAGTCCAGCAGCTGTGCAGGTGTCTGCTACTCACAGAGACGTATGCGGTCAGGCAGGTGACCAGTGATGCGGTGATGGCGTACGGGATGGACGTGTTCGGGCTTTTCGCCTCCTCTCCTGTCGTGGCGATGATGTCAAACCCAATAAAGGCATAGAAGCAGGTGGCAGCACCCTGCATCACCTGCAGAGCAAAGTCAATACAGTCACAGTTCTGCAGATAATAATAATAATAATAATAATAATATTAATAATCTTAATTCAATCATTCAACCTCTTAAACTATTCAGTTACTAAAGCCACTTTTCCATCACATGGTACAGCTTGAATCGACTCGACTCTACTCGCTTTTGGTACCAGCTACTTGTTTTCCACTGCAGATATAGCGCCCCCTCAATGTAGCTGGTCGTCATAGTGATACCGCATGAAACTGCCATGATGTAAAGGAGACAAATTTTGTTCAGAAGAGGATGATGGCTGAAGACAACGAGACGATTCCGGTTGCTCAAAGGCGACACAAGAGGGTACGCTAACCTGGTAGCTAATGTTAGCATATGCGTTTAACGATTCTCTCCGATCAATCAGTAGATGTTCAACTTCACCTTTCGTTATTGGCTCAGCTCGCTTGAAACTTCAATGGAGGTGACACCAAAAATAGTACCAGATACCAGGTTTGCCTAATGGAGAACCAAAGTAAGGTCAAATCAAGTCGACCATGTGGTGGAAAAGCGGCTTATGTATATGGCTTACTGTTCAGTAACTGCTATGTCTGAATTATTTGGCCCTTACATTTTAAGACAGGGGTCACCAGTTTTACCCACAAAGGGCAAGTGTGGCTGCAGGTTTTCACTCCAGCCAAGCAGGAGCTCACCTTCTACACCTAATTAACTATTTGTAAACTGAGGCCAACTGATTAAATGAGGAATCAGGGGTGCTCCAGCTTAATTGCAATGAAAACCTGCAGCCACACCAGCCCTTATTTGGATAAGACTGGTGACTTCTGTTTTAAAAGAGGTTAATCTAACTGTTATTCATTCATTCGCTCATCTTTTTAAACCACTTGATCTAGCTAGAGTTGTGGTAGCAATAGGGAAAGCTGAGAATCTTCTGGGGGGATCCTGAGTCGCTCCCAAGCAAGGTGTTGTCTCAGTTGGCCATGCCTTGTACACCTCCACTGGGAGATGGCCAGGGGGCATCCTAATCAGATGCTCAAACCACTTCAACTTGTTTTTCTCAATGTGGAGGAGTAGCGGCTCTACTTTGAGCTCCTCCCAGATCACTAAGCTCCTCACTCTGTCAGCAGAGTGTAGCTCCCCATGCTGCAAAGAAAGCTCATTCCCACCACTTGTATCCACGATCTCATTCTGTTGTCATTACCCAAAGCTCATGGTGAGGGTGGGGTTCTAGTTTGCCTTATGGCACAGGTCCCTCTTCACCACTACAGTCCAGTACATCAACCACATTACTGTTTCCGCCTTTTCCAGCCTGCAGCCGATCTCACAGTCCCTCTTCTCAACACTCATGAACAATACCCTGAGATACTCCTCCACCTGGGGCAGGTCCCATCCCCTTACCTGGAGGGGGAATGCCATCGTTTTCCAGGTGACGACCATGGACTCAGACTTGGAGGTGCTGATCAGCATACAAGCCATTTTACACTCAGCTGCAAACCACTCCAGTGAGCGCTATAGGCATCCATGCGATGGAGCCAAGAGGACATCATCTGCAAAAAGCAGAGATGCCACCTTCCAGCCACCACACATAATGCCTTCCTGACCTCAGCTACACTTTGACACCTTGTCCATGAATATCACAAACAGGAGTGGAGACAAGACACAACCTTGGTGGAGTCCAATACCCACATCCAGGCATGCAGAGACTGGATGGCCTGGAGTTGTGGATCCAGCACCCCTTACTCCCAGAGGACTTCCCACAGTATATCTCTAGGAACCCAGTCGTAGGTCTTCTCCAAGTCCACAAAACACATGTAGACTGGGTTGGCAAACCCCCATGGCCTCTCAACAATCCATGCAAGGATGGAAAGCTGGTCCATTGTTTGGGACGGAACCAGCATCGTTCCTCCTCAGTCCAAGGTTTGACTATTCGTCGGAGTCTCCTCTCCAGCACCTTGGCATAAACTTTCCCAAGGAAGCTGAGCAGTGTGATACCCCAGTAATTGTAACTCTCTAGTCCACTTTCTTAAAAATAAGGACCACCACCTTGGTCTACCAGTCCAAGGGTATTGTTCCTGAGGTCTGTGCGACATTGCAGAGGTGTGTCAGCAGCATGACAGCCCCACAACATCCAGAGACTTAAGCATTTTTGGGAAAAACCCATCCACTCCCGGGTCATGCCACTGAGGGGTTGGACAACTACCTCAATGACCTCCACCATGGAAATGGAGTCTGAGACCTCAGAAGCATCTGGCCCTGACTCTCATGAGGGAGGCACGTCTCTCAGGTTTAGGAGTTCCTCAAAGTGGTCCTTCCACTGACCAACAATAACCTCATTCAAAGAGTTTCTCCACCCCTGCTGAGTACAGCTTGAGCGAAACCACTGATTGCTCCTGAGGTGTCAGATAATTGTCCAGCACCTCCTTGAAGCCACTGAAAGTCTTTTTCCATGGCCTCTCCAAACTTCTCCCATGTGTTGCTAGATGGTTGCTATGGTATCTTAGGTGTTTGCTAGAGTGTTGCTAAGTGGTTCATATGTTATTCCAGGTAGTTGCTATGGTGTTGCTATGTTATTGCTAGGTTGTTGCTAGGTAGTTGTTACAGTATCTCTGGTGTTTGCTAGGGTACTGCTGTGTAGTTGCAGTGGTATTGGAGATGATTGCTAAGGTTTTTCTTGTTGTTACGGTATTTGGTTGCTAAGGTATTTGTTATGTGGTTGCTGGGTGTTGTTAGGTGGTTCAAACAGTTTCTGTGGTGGTTGTTGGGGTGTTGCTTGTGGTTGCAGTGATTTTGATAGATTGTTACTGTAGTATCTCTCATGGTTGGTAGGTGGTTTCTATGGTGTTCCAGGTGGTTGCTAAGGTATTGCTAGGTGGTTGATGTGTGCTGCAGAATTTTACCCCTGACCAGCCGAATGGCAGAAATCGTCCTTCGTCCCAGTTTGCTCCACTGACGAAGAAAAGTCCTGCGATCATTATGAAGACCCACACCATTAGGTTGATGACGTTCAGGACATTGTTGAAGCCCACAGAGTTCTTCACCCCCAGAGCCACAATCACTGTGACCAGGATAGCAATGACCAGGGCCAGAATATCTGGGTACGACTGCTCACCTTTACCTGAGGAGACAAGACAGGTATAACTGTTAACAAACATATCAAGTAACTAAAGAGAGCTAATAACTGTTAGCATATTGTTGCTACACCAAACTTCATAGCACCAATTTGCTGCCTTTTACAAATGTCAAATGCCAAAATGTCATTACATTAACATACATTAAAGAACGTTTTTCAGTCTCCCATAATGTTACTATTTCAGAGATACAATGTTTTATTATGCAAGCATGCTAGCACCTCATATAAATATCACCATCATGGTGATCATCATCATCAGAATGACAAAATTCTGAAGAAAGTGTAGAACTAAACAGCTAAAGAATGGAGAAAAAGTCAGAACTGAGGCTTGAACCTGTCAACACAGAAAATAAATTAAATTCAAATGTAATAAATTATGTAACTGTGTAAAGGAAACCCTTTATTTGAAGGGTACCTGTATTAGAATTACATATCACATGCATAACCATTGACTAATGCACTGAAAAGTTATTTGTGTATTTATGAACAGCTCATGTCTGCATGTGCAAAATGATGTGAAATGTTTTATGAAGTAAACAACATTGTATTTAAGGGCCCCTAAGGTAAAAAGTGACGGACAGTTCTTCCATTTATAAGACTGTTATGAAGCACAGTTCCCAAGTAATGGAACTTACAAAGCAGAGGCCTAGATAAGGAAGTTAAATATCAGTTCTGCAGGTGTTCTGTATGTGGTTGTTCCAGGTTGTTGCTAGGGTATTTGTTAGGTGGTGGCTAAGGTGTTGCTAGGTGGTTGCTAGGGTATTTGTTAAGTGGTGGTTAGGGTGTTGCTAAGTGGTTGCTAGGGTGTTGCTAGGTGGTTGCTATGGTTTCTCTGGTGGTAGCTAGGGTGTTGCTAGGTGGTTGCTAGGGTGTTGCTAGATTACTATAGTATAATGCCAAATATCAGTTCTGTAGGTGTTCTGTATGTGGTTGTTCCAGGTTGTTGCTAGGGTATTTGTTAGGTGGTGGCTAAGGTGTTGCTAGGTGGTTGCTAGGGTATTTGTTAAGTGGTGGTTAGGGTGTTGCTAAGTGGTTGCTAGGGTGTTGCTAGGTGGTTGCTATGGTTTCTCTGGTGGTAGCTAGGGTGTTGCTAGGTGGTTGCTAGGGTGTTGCTAGATTACTATAGTATAATGCCAAATATCAGTTCTGTGAGTGTTCTGTATGTGGTTGTTCCAGGTTGTTGCTAGGGTATTTGTTAGGTGGTGGCTAAGGTGTTGCTAGGTGGTTGCTAGGGTATTTGTTAGGTGGTGGTTAGGGTGTTGACAGGTGGTTGCTAGGTAGTTGCTATGGTTTCTCTGATGGTTGCTAGGGTATTTGATAGGTGGTTGCAAGGGTGTTGCTAGATTATTATAGTATAATGCCAAATATCAGTTCTGTAGGTGTTCTGTATGTGGTTGTTCCAGGTGGTTGCTAGGGTATTTGTTAGGTGGTGGTTAGGGTGTTGCTAGGTGGTTGCTAGGGTGTTGCTAAGTGGTGGTTAGGGCGTTGCTAGGTAGTTGCTAGGTAGTTGCTATGGTTTCTCTGATGGTTGCTAGGGTATTTGATAGGTGGTTGCTAGGGTGTTGCTAGATTACTATAGTATAATGCCAAATATCAGTTCTGCAAAAGAAGATAAGATGGAAAATACGTATGAAAATTATCACTGTAGTTTGAGGACATCAAAATCTTTCACAGGACCTCTACCTTATAAGCTCCATTTCTTGGGAATGAAGCTTCACAAAAGTGTTAGAAATGGAAGAAGTGTCCATCACTTTCGTCATTTACTTCATTAACATCTTACGAATATTGACATAAGCTGTTTATGAATACTTGAGCGTTGCTTTTTAGTTGTTATTTAATATTTATGTATATGTTATGTAGGTATCCTTCAAATGAAGAATTATGAAATTAGTCATGTAATTAAACTAAAATAGCATAGTGAAGCAACAGTAAAAGTGTTACAGCTATGCTATTCAATGCTTATGTATGTGTTATATACATATATACATATTTAGCTTTCAAATACAGGGTTATTTGTGTAAATAATTATGAAATTATATTTAAATAGCACAGTAAAACACCAGTAATATTGCTGGAGGGCTGTTTTAAGAGGTTCAATCTATTCCAGCCAAAACAATCAAACAAACAATATCTTTGCGAGCAGTTTCTCGCTGATCTGTTTCACTCTCCTGTCTGCTCGTCACTGCTCTGACAGAATGCGCCTCAGGCGCTGGACGAACAGCGTCAGAACAGAAACCTCAAACAACCTTCAACATCTGTCACCAAACACACCACGTGATTCTAAAAATACCCAGCATGCCCCAGTCTGCGCCCTGGGTGGAGATGAATATGAAATGTTGAGGAGTGATGCAGTGAAAGAGGAGAGAGTTAAGGCTGCAGATTATAACAGCTGCAGGCTGAGTCAGCTCACGCACTGCTCTGAGCCTCGTCCGGTTTGGTCAGGAGCTGCTGTAGAGGTGATGTCTGTCTGCTGGCTGAAGAAAGAACTTCCCGACTTTTAAAAAGCCCAAAACCTGCATTTTTCCTTTATTGTTTCTGAGGTCACTCAGAACAAATGCAAGCTTTAGCACCAGACTGTAATTTCTACATGATCATTTGTCAAACTCTCTTTATCCTTTACAATTAAACAGGCTGTTTTTGTTACTGTGCTTTTACAGCCAAAATATGCAAATGAGCACTGTTCTAAATGGCTGCCCTGTATTGAGCCTTATTTAAAAAGCTGACTGAATGGGTGGGGCTAAACTGCTATAGACCAAATGGGCAGGGCTAAATGGGTGTAGACTGAACGGCATGGTAAACTGCTGTAGGCCAAAAGGGTACATCATTCTGTAATATTTCTGGACTGCTGGATCCTCTGTTGTCAATAACTGATCCAACTAGGCTAAATCTGTATGACTTCTTACACTTACAGCATTTGGCAGACACTCTTATCCAGAGCAACGTAGAACTTGATCATTTTTACACAGGTAGGCGAGATGTTAGGGGTCTTGCCCAAGGACTCTTACTGGTATAGTGTAGGGCGCTTGCCCAGGTGGGGGACTGAACCCCAGTCTACCATTACCCACTACACAACACCAACCACTACTAACTACACTATACCAACCACTACCCACCACACGACACCAACCACTACCCACTACACTATACCAACCACTACCCACTACACTATACCAACCACTACCCACTACACTACACCAACCACTACCCACTACACCAACCACAACCCACTACACTATACCAACCACTACTAACTACACTATACCAACCACTACTAACTACACTATACCAACCACTACTCACTACACTACACCAACCACTACCCACTACACCAACCACTACCCACTACCCACTACACCAACCACTACCCACTACACTATACCAACCACTACCCACTACCAACCACTACCCACTACACTATACCAACCACTACTCACTACACTACACCAACCACTACCCTCTACACGACACCAACCACTACCCACTACACGACACCAACCACTACCCGCTACACTATACCAACCACTACCCACTACACTACACCAACCACTACCCACTACACCAACCACTACCCACTACACTACACCAACCACTACCCACTACGCTATACCAACCACTACCCACTACACTATAACAACCACTACCCACTACCAACCACTACCCACTACACTATACCAACCACTACCCACTACACTACACCAACCACTACCCACTACACCAACCACAACCCACTACACTATACCAACCACTACTCAGTACACTACACCAACCACTACCCACTACACTATACCAACCACTACCCACTACACTACACCAACCACTACACACTACACCAACCACTACCCACTACACTACACCAACCACTACCCACTACACTACACCAACCACTACCCACTACACCAACCACTACCCACTACGCTATACCAACCACTACCCACTACACTATACCAACCACTACCCACTACCAACCACTACCCACTACACTATACCAACCACTACCCACTACACTACACCAACCACTACCCACTACACTACACCAACCACTACCCACTACACCAACCACAACCCACTACACTATACCAACCACTACTCAGTACACTACACCAACCACTACCCACTACACCAACCACTACCCACTACACCAACCACAACCCACTACACTATACCAACCACTACTCAGTACACTACACCAACCACTACCCACTACACCAACCACTACCCACTACACTATACCAACCACATCTTCACCTAAATAATAAAATTATCATCATAACCTTTGTTTTCTTTCTATTGTAGCGATTCATTACTGAGGACAATGGAAGGACATTGTGAACAGTTATTCCTAGCTGTCTATGTACAGGTTTAGAAGAGCTGTTGCTTCTGTACCTAATGTGGCAAAGGTTCAGGCAGCAATGTGCCTGAGCCAGCCTATGTAAACATGGCCACTTTCTATGATGAGCGGGTCAGTATGGCGTCTGTGAACTGTGTGCACAATGAAGAAATAAGGATCAGTGCTACAGACACAAGGCTGGCCTCCACATCCTGGTTCTGACTAAGGAAGAGGGGTCTAAACATTTTACAATCTTGAATCCTTTTGTACATTTAGCTTACAGGGTGAACAGGGATGGTGATAGTGGGCAGCCCTGTTGAGCTCCTTTACCGATGTAGAACCAGTCTGTCCATTTTCTGTTATGACTGTGGCTTGTTGATCAGCGTACACATGGACAAAATTCAAACTTCAAGATGACGACTACTGATATTTTTCAGTATGCAATGTACAAAGCAGACACCAAGCTGGTTTGGCTGGTCACCTACATTTGGCTAAGGAGGAAAATAGTGTAAATCTGATTTTTCACTGAACGGTTTCTTTAACTTTTGGGGATTAAATGAACTGGAAGTGGAAGATTAAAACTCGCTCAGAATGTCCATTAAAGCTGTTGTTAATGCAGCTTTACTCTTAATCTGGCCCTTCTAGAGTAGTCTGGGGATGCTTAGTAGACACAAACATGCTCACCCAGTCCATTGAGGGTTCCTACATGGCTGATCATGAAGCCGCTGATGCTGTGATTGGCCAGAGAGTCAAACATGCTGCTGAGGGCGCTGGCTCCCGCCGCCGTGCCAATCAGGTACTCCAGGATCAGATTCCAGCCGATAAAGAACGCCACAAACTCGCCCACTGTCACATAGCTGTAGGTGTAGGCAGAGCCTGTGGTCTTTGGCACCCGCACACCGAATTCAGCATAACACACACCTGTGGGGACATAAGTACCGTTGGAGTCGGACGTACCAACAGGTCTTAAATATATAGGTCAAAGCTAAGACATAAAAGATTACGTTTTTCAAAAACCATCGGTCAACATGGGAGGATTTGGGAAAACAGCACACAGCAGAACAGTTCTCAACCTTTTTGAGCTGCAAATGTCAAAAAATGCAGAAATGATGTAGCAACACCCTAGCAACCACGTGGGATAACATAGCAACCACCTAGGAACCAACTGGGATACCGTAACAAATGGTTGCAAACACAATGGCAACCATGTAAACTACCATAGTGATCAAACCAAGAGGTCAGGGACCCCCAAATGTCTCAAAACCAAAATTATAAGGGGTGTCTGAAAATGAACTTATTATGATGTTTTGCTGTCCATTATGGAAAAACAGACACTCAATCGCAAATTCAGTGAAAGCTCAGTGTTTAGCTGCTTCACCCACAATCAGGTTCTGTCTTTGGTGTTCTTAACTAAGTAGAGCTGCAGCACTGCTCTGCCTCAGGGTGGCGCTGTAACAAGTTGTTAACTCAGTTGGTTCTTCATAGCCCACAACTGTAACTAGGTTAGCATATCTTTGAAAAACTTGTGGTATCTGTAGACAGAGGAGGAGATGAGTAAGATCTCAGTTAATGCGAGGAAGAGTGCAGAACCACACTAGAACAGAGCATCTCCAGAAGAAGAACCAATAAACCAAACATTTTACTGCCATTAAACCATCAGCGCCACTATGATGGGTGAGTTAGCAGCCAGTCAACAGTGGGAGGCAATCCACACACTGGCTGCAACCATCCAAAAATACAGCATGATGTTTGTGATCCCTCCTGACTCACCCTGAAACGCCACAGCCTTTGACAATTCACACTTACTACACTGCAAGATACAGTGAATAAATAAAACAAACTACTACCTGCATGGTTTTACCTAGAGTTTAAAAACAATGTGGGAATATTTGCAGATAGCACTTTGTAAACACTTTCTAAGCCAGCGGTCGGCAACATGCAACTCTTTTACTGCCCTGTTGCTCCACAGCTGAATTAGATTTGTAGGTAAAACTAAAATAATCCTCCTTTACAGTAAAATAAAGCTCTGCTGATCGTTCAACACAGTTTAACAATAAATGGTCTTAAACTCTGGAGTTAATGTAGAACTGCTAATTCACCCTTTAACCCTGAAGATCAGCGCAGACTGCTGGTCACCATAGCAACACAGACAACAATCTTGCCTAGCTAGCAGCTAATGAAATGGCAAAGAGAGAGATTTAAGACAAACATTGATAATTTGGAGACAAATGGACTTATTTGCATTTATAATCACTCCAGCTGGTTTCCTGATACGTTTAATCTGCAGCGAGAAACTGAAACACTAAAAAGTCATGAAGCTGAAGTCAGTTTCTCATTCAGCAGCTTCTTGTTCAAGTTCCACCTTAAATGGTGCAGTGGTTACATTCTGGCACCTCAGGCACCATTTAAGGTGGAACGGGAAAACTCAAACAAGAAGCTGGAGAATGAGAAGCGACTTTAGCCTCGGAAAAAGCCAAACATTGAGAGACATTTTACAAAAAACTGTTACATTTTTGAGGAGTTTCCTGCTAGAGATGTGAGAAAAGCAGCTAAAGCCAGGCTAAAGTTTAAAGCAGAGCAAAGTAAGTCTGTGTTTTTTGTTTATATGTTTTAGCCTATACGAGTACATTAGCACATACTGAGACATGTTCTGGCTCCCAAAGTAGTTAGATTTTTGTTGAAACTTGACAAAATGGCTTTTTTTAACATTTGGGTTTTCGACTCTTGTTCTAATCTAATCATTTACTGAACGAGGTTGTTTGAAGTGATTAGAGTAGCTTATAAAGGTCTGGAATTTGCTCCCAGCTAAGTGTAAAGTTACATCTGTTCTTAGCGGAAATTCAGTAGCATCTTGTGCAACGGTCTTAAAGTTACTCCCACAAAGAACGAATTATCTTGCAAAATCAGCCGCTGTATCATTTCTGTAGGACACAGCTGTGCACATTTTGGGGGAGGGGGGTGATGGGGATGACCAACACAAACTGTGCAGCAGCAGATGAGCTATCGTCTCTGACTTTACATCTACAAGGTGGACTGACAAGGTAGGAGTGTCTAATAGAGTGGACAGTGAGTGGACACAGTGTTTAAAAACTCCAGCAGCACTGCTGTGTCTGATCCACTCGCACCAGCACAACACACACTAACACACCACCACCACGTCAGTGTTACTGCAGTGCTGAGAATGATCCATCACCCAAATAGTACCTGCTCTGTGAGGGTCCATGGGGTCCTGACCACTGAAGAACAGTGTAACAAAGTATGGTCAGTGGAGCCGATAAAGTGGACAGTGAGTGTAGATACAAAGGGGTGGACTAAATGAAGTGGCCAGTATGTGTAACATACCTGGCAAAATAAGGCGATTCTGATTTGTTATTACTCTGTGGAAAACAGTTCCACTTTTAAATTCCACTAATAAATGTGGAAAATACTAATAATAGAAACTTCACAAGTAGGTGTGTCCAGGCTTTAGCACTGTATATCCTGTGGTCAACGAATAAAAGACCAAAGTGACTACTGAAAATGAAATGTTGCTACAAATCACACTAATATTTTCACACGGATAAAAAAAGTGAATCAGTGAGATAAAAATGTTAAATAGCTTTAACTGCTCCACTGAAACTACATGCTAAACTACATCCTAATAAATGAGCGAGAAAGCTAAGCATTCATGTGTCTCTCTGGTGTGAATGATGTGTTTGTTTCCATGGGTGGACGACCGGCTGGAAAGAAAAAAAAAAGTCTTTCCAGTGTCCTCTTTAAATTATTCCAATATATCAGGGATGATGAAATGAATTTTCCCCTCCGGCTCTATTTTGGCTCCTGCATGCTGTGCACTGTGGTACATCAGCGTGAATCATGCTTTTCAGCACGCTGCTCAGATTAGAGCTTCTGAACCTGAATCAGATTACTGTTCTCTTTGTTTCCTAATACATAGCAGATTCATACTGGATTAAAATCACTCCACAATTATTACCGTCAGACTGTAAAACTACACACTGCAGATTCATACTGGATTAAAATCACTCCACAATTATTACTGTCAGACTGTAAACAACACACACTGCAGATTCATACTGGATTAAAATCACTCCACAATTATTACCGTCAGACTGTAAAACTACACACACTGCAGATTCATACTGGATTAAAATCACTCCACAATTATTACCGTCAGACTGTAAAACTACACACACTGCAGATTCATACTGGATTAAAATCGCTCCACAATTATTACCGTCAGACTGTAAAACTACACACTGCAGATTCATACTGGATTAAAATCGCTCCACAATTATTACCGTCAGACTGTAAAACTACACACTGCAGATTCATACTGGATTAAAATCGCTCCACAATTATTACCGTCAGACTGTAAAACTACACACTGCAGATTCATACTGGATTAAAATCACTCCACAATTATTACCGTCAGACTGTAAAACTACACACACTGCAGATTCATACTGGATTAAAATCGCTCCACAATTATTACCGTCAGACTGTAAAACTACACACACTGCAGATTCATACTGGATTAAAATCACTCCACAATTATTACCGTCAGACTGTAAAACTACACACACTGCAGATTCATACTGGATTAAAATCATTCCACAATTATTACCGTCAGACTGTAAAACTACACACACTGCAGATTCATACTGGATTAAAATCGCTCCACAATTATTACCGTCAGACTGTAAAACTACACACACTGCAGATTCATACTGGATTAAAATCACTCCACAATTATTACCGTCAGACTGTAAAACTACACACACTGCAGATTCATACGGGATTAAAATCGCTCCACAATTATTACCGTCAGACTGTAAAACTACACACTGCAGATTCATACTGGATTAAAATCACTCCACAATTATTACCGTCAGACTGTAAACTACACACACTGCAGATTCATACTGGATTAAAATCACTCCACAATTATTACCGTCAGACTGTAAAACTACACACACTGCAGATTCATACTGGATTAAAATCACTCCACAATTATTACAGTAAAACTACACACACTGCAGATTCATATTGGATTAAAATCGCTCCACAATTATTACTGTGAGACTGTAAAACTACACACACTGCAGATTCATACTGGATTAAAATCACTCCACAATTATTACTGTGAGACTGTAAAACTACACACACTGCAGATTCATACTGGATTAAAATCACTCCACAATTATTACTGTAAAACTACACACTGCAGATTCATACTGGATTAAAATCACTCCACAATTATTACTGTAAAACTACACACACTGCAGATTCATACTGGATTAAAATCGCTCCACAATTATTACAGTCAGACTGTAAAACTACACACACTGCAGATTCATACTGGATTAAAATCGCTCCACAATTATTACAGTCAGACTGTAAAACTACACACACTGCAGATTCAGACTGGATTAAAATCGCTCCACAATTATTACAGTAAAACTACACACACTGCAGATTCATACTGGATTAAAATCGCTCCACAATTATTACTGTGAGACTGTAAAACTACACACACTGCAGATTCATATTGGATTAAAATCACTCCACAATTATCACAGTCAGACTGTAAAACTACACACTGCAGATTCATACTGGATTAAAATCACTCCACAATTATTACAGTCAGACTGTAAAACTACACACACTGCAGATTCATACTGGATTAAAATCACTCCACAATTATTACTGTAAAACTACACACACTGCAGATTCATACTGGATTAAAATCACTCCACAATTATTACAGTCAGACTGTAAAACTACACACACTGCAGATTCATACTGGATTAAAATCACTCCTCAATTATTACAGTCAGACTGTAAAACTACACACACTGCAGATTCATATTGGATTAAAATCACTCCACAATTATTACCGTCAGACTGTAAAACTACACACACTGCAGATTCATATTGGATTAAAATCACTCCACAATTATTACTGTAAAACTACACACACTGCAGATTCATACTGGATTAAAATCACTCCACAATTATTACCGTCAGACTGTAAAACTACACACACTGCAGATTCATACTGGATTAAAATCACTCCACAATTATTACTGTCAGACTGTAAAACTACACACACTGCAGATTCATACTGGATCAAAATCACTCCACAATTATTACAGTCAGACTGTAAAACTACACACACTGCAGATTCATACTGGATTAAAATCACTCCACAATTATTACAGTCAGACTGTAAAACTACACACACTGCAGATTCATACTGGATTAAAATCACTCCACAATTATTATCAGACTGTAAAACTACACACTGCAGATCATACTGGATTAAAATCGCTCCACAATTATTACTGTCAGACTGTAAAACTACACACACTGCAGATTCATACTGGATTAAAATCGCTCCACAATTATTACTGTCAGACTGTAAAACTACACACACTGCAGATTCATACTGGATTAAAATCACTCCACAATTATGCTGCAAAAAATATATCTTAGCAAGTGCAAACATCTTAAATATAGTCAATAAATTGAATATTTCTCTTTAACAGACTGTCATAAGAATATTGTAAGATTGTTTATCTTATTTCTAGATTTTATTTACTTGTTTTTAAGCAGTTTTATCTTATAAAAATGTTTTTTCATTGGCAGAATATTTTACTTATTTTTAAGCATTACTTCTTGAAATGAGCAAAATTATCTTCATTATTTCTCCAAACAAGTAACAAGAAACAAGTAATATTCTTACAACAGTCTCATAATGAGAAATATTAGATTTATTGACCACATTTAAGATTTTTTGCAGTTTATCACTGTTAGATTGCAAAAATGACTCATTGTAAATTCATCCTGGATTAAAATCATAGATTTCACCTTTAATAAATTAAATAATCTCCCTTCCTAGAATGTCCACAGCTCCACAAGCACTGCAAAGTGAGAAATTCTGTGCTAAACTCGCCCCAGTCTAGCACTCTGTACTGTACTGTGAATACACAGCTGAGAGCAGTGAAGCTCAAGGCCAGTAACAAAACCCCCAGCACATTAATTTTAATCACATTATCTACTACGGAGACAAATATCAGCACAAAGTGAATAAGAAAAACACTCCTGCTGTACCGACTGAGGGGCAGCTGATAAACGGACGCTTAATTATGTCACTGGCCTCTGCACCGTGACACCGTCTGGACCTGATCCGAGCTCCAGCCCTGCTGTTTGAAGGATTATCACTGTGCATGATATAACACGGCCTTCTCTTTAATGTCACACTGACCGGTGCTACAGGAAGTGGGTGTGGTCACCTGACAGGATGAGCATGTGAGGGGCAGAGTGAGAGGTGACGTGCATAGTTAAAGGGGAATTCCACTGATTCTCCAAAATTCTCTGTATAATTAATAGTTAAGAGTCGTTCAGAGTGGTTTGGTGTGAAACGCTCTGTTCTAGATAAACTTACTGAGTCAGAACTGTTCACAGTGGTGGTGATAGGAACCAGACGTCCACCTCTAAAAGCTCCCTCACAGAAAGTTACTACATGAAATGGTTATGAATTCACTGCCTGATGACTGAGACACTGTTTTATGAGAGTTTAGAGATCTTAAACTCCATTCATGGTGGAGGGATACATGCAGGGCGCTGTGAGGCAAAATAGTCCCCAAAGAAAACTTATTGTTTCAGATTTTCCACTATTTTCCATCATCAACATTCCATATAAACTCAGAAGACTCGTGTAGGTTCACTGGTGGTTCAGGATAGTAAATAAAATGTCTATATCTGTGTTGTAGTCATGGCGACCCCTGGTTCCTATCACCACCACTGTAAAGACATCTGAACCATTTCACACCAAACCACCTGAATCTCTCTGATTACATCTCACACACTCAATTAAGGAGAAACTGTTAAAATTAATTAGAATCCTCTTTTAAATATGCAATAAAAGGTATAACAAATAACATATACACTAAATAAATTACACAGTTAGCTCTTTTGTTTGAAAAGTGTTGGTACTTGTCTTATTTTTGACCACCAGTTGCTAAACAACAGCAATAGTGGCTTTACTGTAACATGCCGGAACTACTTTTTCTAGCGGAAGGAATTGGCAATAGTAGAAAATATATATATTTAAAAAATATTCGCAGTTTCTTTGCTTTACTTTCTTTCTTTGCTTTGTAGAGTTGCTATATAAAAGCCATAGAACTCTGCTGATGTTGGTCGACAGTGAATAAAATCACTGCTGGGTTGATTTACTGCAACCAAGTCACAGCTAATATATTATTCACCACAGCACATCACCTCCAGTGTTCTATAGCTTCAACATGTACTATGTATATAACCGACTATTTGCAAAATAATGATCACCATGCCTCTGAGCTCTGCTTCCTCCTCTTTAATTTCATTCCTGAAGCTGAAAAACTTTTGGATTAAACTCTCTGGAAGCTCCGAACTCACAGCTCAGTGATCACATTTACAGACCCTAAAGTAAAATATACTTTATCTGCATTACTGTATTTGCTAAAACTAATTTAATGATAAATAACTTTACAGCAACATTAAGATTAAGATTAAGGACTGTGTGACACTCATATTACCGATTAAAAACATTCTGCGCGAAGATGAGTATTACTGCCATTCTTTGTATTGTTAGATTAAAGTTAGATGAAAGTTCTCATGTAAAAGATGTCGAGTCCTTCTCAGAAGCTAACATTTGACTAGCTCCAGTGTTAGCTTTAGCATTAGCTCATCCGAAGGGGCAGCTTCCGCCACTAAAACCACCTCCTCCTCATTATTATTATTATTATTATTACTATTATTATTATTATTATTATTATTATTTCACTAGTGGTGGACAAAGTACACAAACCATGTACCTGAGTTAAAGTAGAGACACCCAAGGTAAAATATTACTCCAGTAAAAGTAGAAGTTCCTCCCTTTAGACCTCCACTTGAGTAAAAGTACTAAAGTATTCACCTTCAAATGTACTTAAGTATCGAAAGTAAAAGCACTAAAAGATTAATTATGACTTTAATGTCCTGTTATCATTTTATAACAAGACTCGCTTCATTAACTCATTTTAGGTGAAAATACTCCAGTGTCTCTCTTGGTAAACCAGTCTTTAATAGAGTCATTAATTAGTGACGCTGATGTCTATTAAAATGATCATTAGACCTGTTGCTTTAATGTTGAGTGAGAAAACGATTCCCCTGGTCTCATTATTGTAAACATGATTTACAGAACCCATTTTTGGTTCACTGTAAACTGACCTACATATTTTGTCAGTTTTAACAGCACCAAAAAATGTCCTGCACCGTTAGAACAGCATGGCTGCATAATCAGAGAGTGCGGGTGCTGGACTGACCTCGCTGGCTCGGAAATCTGTGTTGCATTATTAGCTTAAAAACACAACAATAAGGCCCTGTGCAGCACCCGAAGACGTGTGTAACAGAAGAATGGCAACAATTCTGCTTTCTAAACTGGATCATTTTGTGTCTTCAGTCCCCAAATGACTATTAAGTGCGGTTAAAGTAAAGCTGATGTAACACAGTGGTAAAATACTCCTGTCCCACATGGTTTGGAAAGCGCTGCAGGCTTTAAATTTAGATTTAGCATATATTAAAAAAAATAATAATAATAATAATAAAGTTTATAAACTTAAACATCAAATACTTTTATTTTTACTGTTTTCAATTTAGTACAGATCAAACATTTCACAGATGAAGCATTTCACATTCCAGTGTTTTTGGAATTGGGGTGTTGCTAGGGTGCTGCCAAACAGCGGTTGCTAGGGTGTTGCTGAATGGTTACTGTGGTATTTTAGGTGGTTGCAAAGGTGTTGATAAGTGGTTGCTATGGTATCCCAGGTGGTTGCTAGGGTGTTGCCAAACAACGGTAGCTAGGGTGTTGCTGAATGGTTACTATGGTATTTTAGGTGGTTGCAAAGGTGTTGATATTTGGTTGCTACAGTCTCCCAGGTGGTTGCTACAGTCTCCCAGCTGGTTGCTAGGGTGTTGCCGAATGGTTATTATGGTATTTTAGGTGGTTGCAAAGGTATTAATAAATCATTGATATGGTATCCCAGGTGGTTGCTAAAGTGATGCCAACCAGCAGTTGTTAGGGTGTTGCCGAATGGTTACTATGGGAATTTTAGATGGTTGAAAAGGTGTTAATAAGTGGTTACTATGGTATCCCAGGTGATTGCTAGGCTGTTGCTAGGTGGTTGCTTTGGTTCCCTCCATTGGTTAATAGGGTGTTACAAACTTTTGCACCCCATTCATTCCTATGGGGTATGGATTTGTCATGTGAAGATCATTATACAAAACCGTATGTCCAATCAAAAAGCTGTGTACAAGCACATAGTTTCGGATCAGACCAAACATTCTGGAGTGCTAAGGTACACACTTAAAAAGAAGGTTCCTCAAGGGTTCTTTAGTAAAGGCAATAGTTCTATTTAGAACCTTGATTTCTATATAGAAGCATTTGGACACCTTAATGTTTTTGGCATGGTGAAATAGCTCTTTAGATTGATGCAGAATATGTTGATGGTTCTGTATAGAACCTTTTCAGTATATGGTTTTATATATCAGCATAAAGTATTCTGGTATTGTTATAATGTAACAATACAAAGTCCCTTTTAGGTACTATATAGAACAATTTCCAGTCTGAAGAACGATTTCACCATGCAAACAACTATTTAGGCATCCAAATGGTTCTATATAGGACTCATAGTTCTAAATAGAACCACTGCCTTCATTAAAATAAAAAGATAAAGTAATATAAAACACACAAAATATAAAATAATATAAAATACATAATAAATAGGGTCTAAAATGAGTGAAGTATGTTTGTATTAGTAGTGCAGTCACCTGACAGTATGGAGGCCACAGCGGCGATGATGAAAGACACGATGACCCCTGGGCCGGCCATTTCCTTAGCAACCAGCCCGGAGACCACATACATGCCGGTGCCAACACAGCTACCCACTCCCAGAGAGACTAGATCCACTGTGGTCAGCACTCGCGCCAGCCTGGTGCCGTGTGGACCTGTGCCCTGCTGTGCTAGCCGAGCTGTCCAGCATGGACTCTACAGGTTTGGTCCGGAGGATTCGGGAGCTGAAGGCTGACCACTGGACTCGCCGAGGGTCCAGCTTTGCCAGGATCCGACTCATGATGGACAGTCGGAGGGACAGAGGGATGGAGGGGTGGAAAGAAAGGCTGGAAGGCTGCAGTAGAGAGATTGAGAGCTGGAGCTGAATCAGAGTGAAACAGGAACCCTCAGTACAGCAGCATGATGATACTGATCCATACGGAGAGAGCAGAGGACCTGCAGAGAGAGAGAGAGAGAGAGAGAGAGAGAGAGAGAGGAGAGAGAGTGAGAGAGAGAGTGAGAGTGAGAGAGAGAGAGACAGACAGTGAGAGAAAGAGAGAGAGTGAGAGACAGAGAGAGAGAGAGACAGAGAGGGGATACAGTTTAGTTCTGAATCATCTCTCTATTGTCTATAGCTAGCGTAGACAGACAGATACATAGACAGACAGACGGACAGATAGACAGGTAGACAGACAGACAGATAGATAGATAGATAGATAGATAGATAGATAGACAGATAGATAGACAGATAGATAGACAGATAGACAGACAGATAGACAGACAGACAGATAGACAAATGGACAGATAGATAGAGGATACATACATACATACATACACACATAGACAGACAGACAGATAGATAGACAGATGGACAGACAGGTACGTAGATAGACAAACAGGTAGCTAGCTAGCCAGACAGACAGACAGATAGATAGACAGACAGACAGACAGGTAGCTAGCTAGCTAGACAGACAGACGGACGGACAGACAGACAGACAGATAGATGGATTGATGTAAAACAGCTCATTCGATATAATCATATTGTCTCCTGTGGAATACAACTCATTACAATTCATTCAGCACTATTTCTATTCAATTTGAATTAAATTTATCCTTAAATAATTTCTTACTGAAAAGTAAGTGATGCTCAGTTGAGGAAGGTTCTCTCCCTGCCTGAGCTCAGAGGCTGTAGAGATAACACAGCTTTCTCAACGTAAACACTGTGAATGATGCAGGAGTCCATACACTCTGTGATGAGTGTGTGTGTCAGTGTGTTATCTCCCTCACCCGGCCTACAGACGCCAAACACACACACTCACATCACAGAGCTCCTGATGGTTCTGGGCGACTATCCAACGCCTGCTGGAACACACACAGAAACAGTGCAGCAGAGGGTCTGCTCCGAACGCAACTCATCTTTATCTGCTTCACTGACCCCCATCCATCACCACCTTAATCTCAAACAAACCCTTCAGCTGTCTCTAACACTCTCTCTCTCTCTGAATGACAGCGATGAGGCAGATCTTTCAGTCCTCCTCACTGTGGATGTCTCTGCTGACCAGATCTCCCCTCAGCTAACAGTAACGCCACAGCATGTGTTTGATGGGGAATGATGGTGTTTGATGAAGAATGATGGTGTTTGATGAAGAATGACTCCGTTTGAAGGGGAATGATAATGTGGCGTCAGCGTGGAGGGGGAGGCCATGATCTGCTGCAAATAGTGCTCTTTAAGAAACACCAGGCAGACAAGCGCATAACATCAGCACTAAAAATAGCAGGGAGGTCTCCTAAAGCCATAAAACCCCCACTGACAATGACCCTCCAACCCACACTAGCTAAGCCCACCCCACACCCCAACACAAAATAACACAGCAAACACACCCACACACACACACATCTCTAACCAGCAAACAGCAACACCAGACCAGCACCAACACAACAACAGCCCCTGTTTACAGAGGGGGGCTCAGATCTGCATACACGGCCCTAAAGCTCCTTTCCCCAAAACCAGAATCAGCGGCCGCCGCCATAATAGTGTTTGACGAATGATGGTACTCATTAGAAAATGGTGGTGTTTGGTGGAGAATGTTGGTGTTGTGGAAAGTGTTGGTGTTTGGTTGAGAATGATGTTCTGTGTTGGATAATTTTGGTGGTTGATTGAGAATGATGGTGCATATTAGGTAATTTGGGGGTTTGGTGGAGAATGATGGTGTTTGGTGGACAGTATTGATGTCTGGTTGAGAAGGATGTTTTGTGTCAGATGATTTTGGTGTTAAGTTGACAATTATAGTCTTTGTTAGATAATTTGGTGTTTGGTGGAGAATGCTGATGTTTAGGGGAGAATGATGGTGTTTGGTAGAGAATGGTGGTGTTTGGAAGAGAATGATGGTGTTTGGTAGAGAATAGTGGTGTTTGGAACAGAATGTTACTGTTTGGTGGAGAATGTTAGTGCTTGGTGGAGAATAGTGGTGTTTGGAAGAGAATGTTAGTGTTTGGAAGAGAATGGTGGTGTTTGGAAGAGAATGGTGGTGTTTGGAAGAGAATGATGGTGTTTGGTGGAGAATGATGGTGATTGGTGGACAATGATGGTGATTGGTGGAGAATGACGGTGTTTGGTGGAGAATGATGGTGATTGGTGGAGAATGATGGTGATTGGTGGAGAATGACGGTGTTTGGTGGAAAATGGTGTTTGGAAGAGAATGATTGTGCTTGGTAGAGAATGTTAATGTTTGGTGGAGAATGTTGGTGGAGAATGGTGGTGTTTGGTAGAGAATGGTGGTGTTTGGTAGAAAATGTTAGTGTTTGGTGGAGAATGGTGGTGTTTGGTGGAGAATGGTGGTGTTTGGTAGAGAATGTTAGTGTTTGGTGGAGAATGGTGGTGTTTGGTAGAGAATGTTAGTGTTTGGTAGAGAATGTTAGTGTTTGGTGGAGAATGTTAGTGTTTGGTAGAGAATGTTAGTGTTTGGTGGAGAATGGTGGTGTTTGGTATAGAATATTAGTGTTTGGTGGAGAATGTTAGTGTTTGGTGGAGAATGTTAGTGTTTGGTGGAGAATGGTGGTGTTTGGTAGAGAATGTTAGTGTTTGGTAGAGAATGTTAGTGTTTGGTGGAGAATGTTAGTGTTTGGTGGAGAACGATGGTGACTGAATGACGAAGATCCTCCAGGTCAAAAATGGAAAATTAGATTGATTTAATCTGAGTGATCTCAGCAGATAAACAGCTGAGGAGGAATGGTGATGCTTGGTGGAGATTGGAGATTAGACTGTGCACTAAATATCCTTCCGTTCTGGATTTTCTGGTCTCATGGTAAAGAGCTAAAAGCTTCAGATGTATAAGGTGCATATCAAACGATTTATTGACATCTATTTTACTGCGGATGCTTTTTAAGAGCAGTTTTCTCTGAGGCAGTAATACCGAGGCTTCTCTCTGTAGAGAATTACAAGACGGATCTGTCTGGACGTTTATCTGGAGAAAATTGAGCGAGGAATATTCAGCTGAAGCCAGCGTGAAATTAATGTTGTATAACAGCAGTACTGGCAATTTTCTGACTGCCTGAGCTGGATGACATTTACATAAAAACTCCAACATTAGATATATCATCACTTACCGTGGTTTTCTGAGGAACAATCTCGCTAAGAAAGAGACTAGAGCGGTATCAGTAAAGGGGTATTGTCTACTGTAAAGTGAAAAGCTGACCTGCAGCTGAAAGTAACATTAGGTTTATTCTTGCCTCATAACACTGAACCTCCTCCCACCGAGTCCCACTCAGTCAGCAGATCCTCCACAGCTTTTTCTTTTTCTGACTCACTTTAAACATTACATACTGGTCTCTGGGTGACCTCACTGCTTCTGCTTTTCCCGTCTCAGTCCTGGTTCCTCTCAGTGGCTCTTCCTCACACTCTTAGGGAGGTTCTCCTTTTGAGCCTTGGCTCCTCTCAGTGGTTCTTCCTCACACTCTTAGAGAGGTTCTCCTTTTGAGCCTTGGTTCCTCTCAGTGGTTCTTCCTCACACTCTTAGGGAGGTTCTCCTTTTGAGCCTTGGTTTCTTCTCAGTGGTTCTTTATCACACTCTTGGGGAGGTTCTCTTTTTGAGTCTTGGTTCTTCTCAGTGGTTCCTCATCATGCTCTTAAGGAGTTTTTCCTTTTGAGTCTTGGTTGGTCTCAGTGGTTCTTCCACATGTTCTTAGGGAGGTTCTCTTTTTGAGTCTTTGTTTCTCTCAGTGGTTCTTCCTTATGTTCTTAGGGAGGTTCTCCTTTTCAGTCTTGGTTCTTATCAGTGGTTCTTCCTCACACTCTTTGGGAGGTTCTTCTTTTGAGTCTTGGTTCTTCTTTGTGGTTCTTCATCATGCTCTTATGGAGTTTCTCCTTTCGGGTCTTGATTCTTCTCTGTGGTTCTTCCTCATGTTCTTCGGGAGGTTCTTCTTTTGAGTCTTGGTTCTCTCAGTGGTTCTTCCTCATGCTCTTAGGCAGGTTCTCCCTTTTTAGTCTTAGTTCTTATCAGTGGTTCTTCCTCACACTCTTCGGGAGGTTCTCCTTTTGAGTCTTGGTTCCTCTCAGTGCTTCTTCTTCTTCTGAATTGTGATTGTCATAAGTATGTTTGCTAAGCTTAGCCACCATGAAACTGAAATGACAGCTTGCTATCAATGAGTATGTATTGCTTGATGTAGGACATGTATGACAATCGCAATTAAGACTTAAAAGAGTCCAGTTAGACTCAATAACTCTCTGAGCACCTGAACAAAGTTAGCAGTCATGAGCAGTCGTAGGCTGGAGGTTAGGGAACCAGCCTAGTGACCGGAAGGTCGCTGGTTGGAAAGTAAAAGTAATTCATCCTTGGAAATTGAGAGTAATTTCACCAGTGTAAAGTCCAGATTCTGATCACGGCTCTCGGACTCATGGTCACTGTGATGTCATCAGTGCAGCCCGTCACTCATGGTCACTGTGATGTCATCAGTGCAGCATGTCACTCATGGTCACTGTGATGTCATCAGTGCAGCCCGTCACTCATGGTCACTGAGATGTCATCAGTGCAGCCCATCACTCATGGTCACTGTGATGTCATCAGTGCAGCCCAACACTCATGGTCACTGTGATGTCATCAGTGCAGCCTATCACTCATGGTCACTGTGATGTCATCAGTGCAGCCCATCACTCATGGTCACTGGGATGTCATCAGTGCAGCCTGTCACTCATGGTCACTGTGATGTCATCAGTACAGCCCAACACTCATGGTCACTGTGAGGCCTGCCACACCAATAGGTTCCACCCACCTGTAGACAATCCACTGAACCTCTACAATAACT